CAACTATAAAAATAAATAGACTAGTGCAATAAGGTTAGGATGTAAAATGTACGCCAAGTATTAAAGGGGAAAAAGGAATTCATTAAAAGAAATGCAAACGATCACCTAAATAAAACATCCAACTAACTACAATCTATACACTAAGATCTATCGAAGAACAAAATTATGGACAATCCAACCAATTAAATTAAAACTTGAAAATTTTTGGGCACCGGGATTCTATGTCCATTTAAGACCCATAGTTTTGGCCCATATCACCCGATAACCGACATTAGGTGCAGCTATCGGCCTTGTTTAACAAAAGCTTTTTTTTTTTATAGGTATTTTTGAATACTTGAATTGTGTTTCAACATTTACGTTCATAATAATCGAAGAAAAGAGAGGTTTCATTATTAAAGACTATGAATCAATGAAATAAAAAATTTCCACAATTTTGTCAATGTCGAATAACATTGCAATAAAAGGGGAAAAAAGAAAATGAAAAAAAAAACTCCTTTCCTCTCAATTTAACTAAACAAAAAATACATATATAATTTAAAAAATAATTCAAAATGAGATGAAAAGAGTACAAGATTTTAAGGTAGACCCCAATTTAGAAGTTTTTCTTATATTATTGCACAAACGGCGATAGACCCAATTTTCTTAATAACACGGACAATTTGTAGGAAATGTGAAATGACACAAAGGACACACAAGTGACTATCCAGCAACCACTTCACCATGCAATTTCTGTGAAAAATATGCGAGCAAGGCAACCTCATAGCTTCAGATCCCGCCAAAAACTCTTCAATTCCGAAACCAACCCATCAATTTTCACCGCCTCCAATTCCTGAATCGATGACTTCGCAGCTCCTTTAAACGCCTTCATTTGTGTTTCCCTAACCAGTTCGTCGTACGTTCTTGGCCTTCGAATGGCCAGTTCAAAATCCCTCACGAAATTTACTTGTGTTCTTTTCTTCTCATCATACCAGGAGACACACACATTGAATTACTCATCAGTAATCGTAACCATCTTTATTACCTCCAATATACAGGGCAGTAATTTCCTATTAAAATGGTAATTTCGTCTTCTCACTCGGAAAAAGAACTCCAAAATCTTTTCGACCAAATTAGTAGAGTCCCTTAAATTGCAAAAATTGCTATAATCGCCGCCTAAATAACTCTCACCCCAAATTGCTCCACTAAATTGAAAAGGGATGGAACATTCATCCAACATGGATCTTATAATTCCCCTACAACGATCAGAATAACTGGTTATTATGCCACGATCTAGACTAAAATCGTTTCGAGTGAGTAACCTTGAAAAAATCCTGCTCGTTGCTAGCTGAGCGGAAATACACACAAACGTTGATTGTGATTGAGAATTGTTTTGATGGAATTTGTGGTGTTTTGTAAATAGCTTTGGTGGGTTGAGAAGCGAATACACATGTGGTATAGTCATTGTGGGAACTCAAAGGGGGTAACCAACTTAAACTTGTTGATTCTAATATGCAGAAGAAAGAACAAGATTAATTTAGCGGCAAAGAATGATGAATTTGATATTTACTCTTCTTTAGCTTAATTTCTTTACAAATAACCTATACATGCATTTACAGGTTTTTCCCTCGCGCCGTTTTATATGGGTAACTTTCAATTATTGGCTAATAACATGTACTCCCCCTGTCCTAAAATTATTGTCCAGTTTGAGATTTCACTTTTAGTACAATTTGAACTAAAAATGAAAACTCAAACTGGACAATAATTATGCAACGGGGGAGTATATTGTGAATTGTGATTCCTAAAAAATTCATCGGATCTGGTGAGTAAATTTTAATTTGATTCTTGCATTTTTTTTAACCTTCAGTTTTTTCCCGCCGCCATTTCCTCAGCCGAATCCTGTAGCAAATCTCAAGTTTTCAGTTGATTGAAGGGAGTACCTATAATCTTCACACTTTAATTATAGTATATTTCCTCTTTGTTTTTTTCACAGTAAATGACCTTGAATTTAGGGTACAATTATAAATTCTTGAATATTCTTGATCGACCCAAAAAGGCTTCATTTCAACTTCAACTTGGGGGTGTTGTCTTTGTCTATATCTCGGGGGCGTGGATATTTCCATTTCGGATCAGATGAACGTCAATTATGTCATGAAATTTGGACAATTTGCTCCCCCAATTTGATTCAATCCCCCAAGTCCGTGTGTGGCCAAACTTTGACTTATTTTTTTTGGGGTCTCAATCTTCAACTTTCAAAGCAGCCCTCCGCTTTCTAGTCCACTCTAACAACTTTATTTAGTGATTAAATAAACCAACACGAGTCTCACACGAATTTCACTTTTGAACCATCAAAACAATTATTCCAATACCTTTATCAAAGTGTAGCAATTAATTATTAATTAACAGTAACAACGATGATATATAATGTACACGAGAGATATTCCTTGTAACACTGTCGCCCACCCACAAAACTAAATTTTGCAAATTGAAATATTTTTTTGGACTAAGAATATGTTTTCCATTCTCTCATTCATAATTAATCGTTAACTGATGTCCACTTATACGAAAAAGGGTAATATACAATTGTTGCACCTTTTCGGAAAAATAGTACTCCCTCCGTCCTTAAATTATTATCCAGTTTGACATTTTATTTTTAGTACAATTTAAATTAAAAATAAAAATCTAAATTGGGCAATAATTATGGGACGGAAGGAGTACAACAAACTAATGATAAAATTGATAAATAATTTTTTTTTTCATTTTTTCGGTTTCTGAGTAGGTTCCAAAAAAAGGAGTGCACTTTCCTATTTGGGTCAGAGTGTATCAATGTACAATGCACGTATTCTTCTTATAAATACTTAACACAATAATAAGGTAATCTTTTCATTTTCTAAAAAATAGTTTTCGAACTAAAATTCACAATAAATATGTTTTTTCTTAAACAGGAGAAGTAGCAGTTCTCAAACACATCAGAACTCGTTTTTACAACAAGCGGAACAATTTTCATCAATGTCCGTGACTATTGTGAAATACATTAAAGAGGTAAAGTTTTCGACTAGTTAATAGTGACCACATTAACAATTTTTCAGAGTTGCCGACTTTGATTTTGAATATAACAAAATCAATGTCGACTCTGTAGCTAGCTAATATTAGATATACTTTAGCTAATTAATTAAATCATTTTAATTCAACCTCGATCAATGCTCTTGTATCTTCTAGACATGTAGTGGTTTTATTCGACACCTTTATATGCAAAAATAATAAATGTGTTTTGTCCGAATTTGTTTTAATGAAACCTTTTTTTTCTAAAATTAACTGAAACCTATTAATCAACCAAATAAAATATTAAAAACGGATATCATCATCAGGGTCGTCTCTATCTGAAAATATCCATCTTGTAAATCAGCTCCTCCTATGTTGTGGAGTAGCTAGTTTAACGATTGAATTTATGATTCATCACTCTAATCCGAGATGAATGAGACAATAGTATACTTAACCTCATTCATTTATTAAAAATACGTACATACTAACTGTTGTGGATTGAATGTGTGTAGTGGTACGAAATAAATTACTACTAGTTGTGAATATTGATTTTAAGGTTTGGTGTTAGAGTTGGATTTAAAACGTGATTGATTTGTGTTTAATAGAGTATTAATGTCTAGTCTTGAAAGATTAAATTAAGATAAACACCGTCCACTCATCATGACTTCGAAATGTTCTGTTCTTTAATTATTTCCATTTCGAATCAGTCGCGCGTGATTGTGAACAACAAGTTGCATAATCAAAAGAGCAAAAAAGATGATTATGCACATCAAAGAAATTAAATATGACGGTGATAGAATTTATATATATGCATGTGTATCTTGTAACCTAATAAATACCGCGATGTAGTGCATATTAAAAGTAATTAAGCAATCATAGAAAAAAGAATATACAGAATCATAAATAATTAGACTTAGTTTGCCAATTAACTAATTAAGAACTTCCTACCTTGAACAAATTAAAATGAATCTGTGGACTAAATTAATGGACAAAGTATTGGTCCAATATCATATTACTTATCGCCTCTTAATTACTAAATGACAAAGACAGCTCTCTAACACGGATTTATTCGAAGATTTCATGTAAACAAATAGCAATCATAAATTATTTTTAAAAAAAAAAAAAAAATCTCATATCAATAAGTACTCCAGCTCTGATCTGATATAATTGTGATTAGGACATAATTCCTATCTCTCTATTCTATTCTTTTTTGTCTTGTTTCAGAAGCAAGTTAGTGAAATGAAAGTGTATCATACAATTTCACCGTTCATCTAACCAGCATAGGGTAATAAAGCACCTACTTGTCCTAATTGTATATTTGTACACTAGTATAAATTATTATACTAACAGTCTAACACATTTCGAGAAAATTGACACTATAAGATCATGGTGTAATTCTTGTAATAAATCATGATGCAATTTCATTCGGTCGTTCATTAAATTCAAAAAAATAAAAATAAAAATGAAGCGGTTTCAGTAACTGTTTAATCTTTAAGCAGTTACGATATTGAAAATGAAGTCACGAAACCAGTTGCAGAATTTGTTATCCTATATATAATACACACATGACACACCCATTGAAATAACGTAGGAGGAGTACATGGGGAAACTACAGAATTTAAATTAACTCGTTATGTTACCAAGTCAACCATCATGCGACAGTGACATATTGCAAGTTGAAAACGTAAATTCAAAAAGAAAACCTTTTTAAGTTTGTTTTTTCAAAATTTTTAATTAATATGTCTAATTCTAATATTCTTTTTACATTTTTAATATATTTTTTTTACATTTTTAGTATATGTTTTTACATTTTCTATAAAAAAAACACAGTCAAAAAATGATCCAAACATAGGCAACTGGCTCACAAGTTACGACCTTATTCTGACCCTTTCGTCGTTATTTCTTTCTTTTTAGTGTTAGGCAACTTGGGCATGGGTTTTATATTGGAAACATGTGAGTTTGAACGTCATTCCCGCAGGTCAAATTACAAAAACTCGGTTTTTCTTCATAGCCTACCCCTCCGCTATTAATTTCCCCCAAAATAATCAATACCAACAAGGCAAAAATCAATTTAAAATGTTAAAAACATGCCAGTTTTGACTCCCACCTCTTTGATCAAACTGCATACCTTTTTCTCTCTTCAAAAAGCTCCTCCCAATTTTCATTATCCATTCCCACTGTACTATTAAGTCTACAAGTATTTATATAGACAGAATCAAACTCATATCTAACATATATCTCAAATCCTAAAATTCGCCTTATCCCAAAATAAGAAATCCATTCCAGAAAAGAAAAAACAGAGCAAAAGAAAACAGAGCAAGTGATTGATCATCAAGTATATTATATATGTCTTCTTCTGCTACCACCGCCGGTACCGGTGCCGGAATCACAGAAGTTCATCCGGACATCATCCAGACGCATATCTTAACAAGGCTTGATGGCCCAACTCTTGCTTCCGCAAGCTGTGCTTCTTCCCGTTTACACGACCTCTGTATTGAAGAAAATCTGTGGAAGAGAATTTGCAACGATAACTGGCCGGCGACGGCCGACCCGTCTGTCCAACAAATCATATCGACTTTCCCCGCCGGCCACCGTTCTTTCTACTCCGATTCTTTCCCCGCCCTCCCCGACCCGAAACGGCATCCGGGTCAACGGCGCAGGCCAGAGTCGTCAGGGGAAATGATCGGAAAAATTGAAACCCGGGAATTAGTCTCCGCCGTTGATATTCACTACGGCGATCAGTTACTGTATTCTAAAGTCGTCACGACGGAGGCTTCTTCCGGCTGGTTCATGTGTTCCCCTTTCCGGATTGATCTTCTTGACCCGAAGGAGATAGTTCCGACGTCGGTGAAGCTCGACGTGGAAGGAGAAGAAGAGAAGACGATGAAGTCTGTGGAGGAGAACATGAGATTGAGTTGGATATTAATCGACCCGGTTAAGAAACGGGCCGTCAATATGTCCAGCATAAGGCCGGTTGAAGTCCGGCGCCACTGGTTGACCGGAGAAATTCAGGTGCGGTATTCCACGGTGATGGCTTGTGCCGCCAACACCGCCGGCAGCTCCGCCGGAGGATTTGTCAATTGTAAAATAATGGTAACCTGTGGGGCCGGCAAGGAAAGTGGGGACTTACAAGTGAAGGAAGTCAGCATGCAAGTGGAGGACATGGAAGGGAAAATCATCAGTGGGAAGGATAGTTTGGTCATTTTACAGGAGGGCATGGATGGAAAGAGGAGAAAAGTTGAAGTGGGAGAAGAGAAAAGAATGTATGAATTGTTCTTGGAAAGTAGGAGGGAATGGAGGGAAAGGAAACAAAGTAGAGAAAGGAGGTTGGATATGGTTTGTATAGCAACTGGTGTTAGTATTTTCATGGCTTTTTGGATCTTTGTTCTATTCAGATGATAAGAAAAGCCTGAAAAGCTATGAGTATCGTCTTTCGTGAGTAAAAATTACTGTTTCGACTAATCGATATTCAAGTCGACAGATTTTTCTCTATAGACCGAATAGTATTTACTCTTGTAAAAAAGGTAAAATGTTAGGTTGAAGAAGATTTTTAGAGAGATGTGAAGATAAATATTTATTTGTTGATTCTTTAAGAGTGTATGTATATTGAAAATGATTGTTTTAAGATATTTATGAAATTCATGATAAGGTACTTCAGGGGTTCAGGGAGTTGAACAAGTGGCTAGATATTTGTGAGATATTGATTCATGCTTTTCTCTATTGCACTTCAAGAATATATACTTGTATACAACCATACACATAAAAGAGTGGAGAATTTGCAATAAAAGCTCTGAAAGATAAAGGCCTACACTAAACTGATCATCATTTCTTTTCATGGTTAATGTACACTTGGTCCATTTATAATCAAATACTTGTCTTGACTTCATAGCTCATAAAGATGAAAAGGGTGAGGGCACTATTGAAAACAATACATAGAACGTGTAAGAGTAGAACTGTAGAATGGTTGATAGTAGTTTTTATTTTCCCCCCAATTGTTTCAGGTAAAGTTTGAACATCGATTTTGTGATTACATTCTTGCATTCCTCATATTCCATGAGCCATAAGTAGGTTATTACCTCCTTCATTGTTTAGAAAAAGAAAGAAGAAGAAGCTTCATCTTGCACTATACATAAAAGCCTCAAACTTTCAAATTAATCTAAATTATGAAAGTCTTGACCAAAACAATTGTTGAAGTTTATCGGTTTTGTACTACCATTTTTGGTTTTTTCGAAAAACAAAGATGAACATTTTCCCATTGATTCAGTATTGCTAATTGGATCTGACGGAACCTCCACCTTTCAGTTTTAATCTTTTCGTTGAAATTGAGGGGGGGAAGGAGCAAAAGGAGAAACTGCTAAAGATTTTTGTGCACAAATTTAGAGATGATGCCAACGTTTTCATGGGGGTAAAGGTTTCATTTATGGGACAGCTAATTACTAGTAGAACGTAGAATGTTTCAACCCCATGATAATAATCCAGTTCTCATTAGGGTTTTTTTTTTTTAATATATACATTTAGATATCTGTCGCCAATAATATTAACGAATCCTTTCACTGAATAATAATATCTTGATATATATGAATGAGGGAGATTTCTTTGTGTTAAGTAGAAACTAAGATCTCTAGCATTGACTTGTACATGTAAACAAAAAAATTATTTCACAAAGAATTGATCAAACAAACATTAAAAAAAAAAAGGAAAAGACAAGGCAAACAAGCAACTTGGTCTTCCTTTTTTATTGGAGAAATGGCAGTAGGTAGACTGGTGCATGGTTCATGTATTGGGAACTCAATGGTGCCCCTACATTCCAACATTAATTTGTTAACTTGAAACTTTTCCAATGAATATACGACAAAATTATGAAGGGATGGTTAATAAAATTCACTCTACTGATTTATTTATTTTTTTATCCTCAAGAATTAACTAGGTCAACGGCGAGCACAGTAATTTGCAAAGAATATTGGAGTTTCCTTACCTCATATTGCATGCCAATGACATCGTTGACTGGATAAATTCAGGGAATTCCGCCAACTTTTGAATTTTATACTGTGTATAATAATGCCGGCCAAGTATATTATGACTAAAACGAGCTACATTATGCCGGCCAGTTACTCTTTCTGTCGAGTGGGCTCTGTAAATGAAACTGAATGTATGTTTTTGTATTTTTTTATTTGTTATTTTAGAAAAAAAAAAAAACCAAAGAGGCAAAAGATGATGGGAAAAGAAATATTTAATTAAAAGACGCAAGTGGTCTAATAATTTGTTTCACCAAGCCATCATATATATAATAGTTCTAACTTCTATGACTCGATTATTGTTGCGCCAAATAGTAAAAGTTTTCTCCTTTTTTATTGGTTTTTTAATTTCATTCCAATTATTTGTATTACATTACAATATTCTGAAAAACAAAAGTATTCTGGTAGGTGGTCATCTTAACGTAAGGTATATTTTTAAACTAAATTTAATCGGCGGAGGTTAATGTGATTCAGTACGTTTGTAAATTTATGTACTCCCTCTGTTCCAAAATTATTGTCCAGTTTGATATTTCACTTTTAGTATAATTTGAACTAGAAATAAAAACTCAAACTGGACAATAATTATGGGATGGAGGGAGTATTTCTTTTTGAAAATGCTTTAGGGAGACTATCGATTGGTAAAGTAACGAGCAATATCAAATTAACAGCCAACCTAAATTATGGTTAATTTGAGAAAGGAAGCGGAACAGACACCTTACAATGATTATTTCTGGTTTGATTGCCCCTCATTCACAAATAAAGATGTTTTTTTTTTCAATTTGTTTAAAATGATTAATATCTGGTTTAATTGGTTGCTTCTCATATGAGTTTTGCTTATATTGATCAATCACTAATTTCACCTAATTACATTATTACAGATAAATGTCACTAACTTCACCTAATTATGATGATCAATCAACCTCACGATTGATTGATTGTTTGATTACTAATATTTCTGACATTACTGATCACTTCTTCTTCTTCTTTTCTTTTTTTTTCTGTGGTCAAATCATTTTTCAAGTTGCTTAGTTGCCGTACTGAAAATTGAATTGGCATTCTGAAATCAATCTCAACCCCAAGAAACTATCTAAAAATGGTCATTTAAAGATATTCTCGTGTACGAATTTAATCTGCAACGATTACGGATAAACATGATCGTTCCAATCAATAAGAATAAATGCTTATGAATTACAAGAATCACGAGAGGGACAACTTAAGAGAAAGATTAATTAGGTGAGATACGAAAGGTTATAAACTCAAATTTAAACTAAATAAACTATGGGAAGTGATATTCACCTCGAAATATTATCTCGAGAATCCATCACGAAGGAGCTGGTCATCCACATTGTAAACTCTACATCAGCCTTTTGTTATATTTTGTAAATTAATCGAATTAATAAAATCCCAAAAGGGGAAAAAAAAACTTCTAAGATAAAAAACTTACTGCAATCTTCAAAAACTCCTCTCCCACAAATCTATCGGTCACCATCGTCGGTCAGAGATTCTAATCAGTCCTAGTTCTCCAATCATCATCAGCTTTTTCACTTCCAAAAATCATTGACTATTTGTAGTAGTTGATGAAATTGAAGATTGCAACTCTTTCTTTCTCATTTTTTTGGATCTTTAATTTGATTAAAAGACACTGATTATGGGATTGTCCTATATAGTGACTACCCTTTCTCCGCTGCGTCTTGGACCTTTTTGATAAACAATCGCGGAAACTCAACTATAAAGCCACTAAAGCATCCGTTTTAGACCCCCTTAGAGTTTAAGGCCCTAAATTCATAGTCTCTGTTATATTATTGATAATATATCTTCAAACAAAAATCTAAAGGCCACATATATGTAAATAAATCAATAATTTGTTATGCTTATTATATTTTTTTTCCAAAGTTCTAAAAGTAATTTATTCATTTTCAAACTAAAGTTACTGATTAAATATTATTTTTAAGTATAAAATGGTATTTATTTGGCTATTTATTAGTTTAAAAAAATACATCCATCAAAGATTGGGTAAACTTATTGATATGCTTAAAATTTACTTATTTTTAATATCCCTTTATATGAGATTTTGCTAATATTTTGAGTATGAATATGCTATTTACATGATTTATCTTTAATTATAGGAATTGTAATCGAATAAAGGAATTGTTGAAGTTTTGGGCTCAATTGAAGAAGAAATGAAGCTTAGAGGAGGAGAACTGAAGCAGCCAAAGAGTTTAAGGATTAAAAGCACAAAAAGGGCCATTTAATTAAATTCTGGCCAGGGAATGAAGTTACTGTGCATGGGCTGGAGTTAATTAATTAAGTTTGGTTTTGGGAGCCCAAAAGAAAGAATACGTGGGCTGGCCATGAAAAAGAGAAGACTTAGAATCATTTTAAAAAAAAGAAAAAGAAGCCCAATGTTTTCTTGGATTATCGCCCTGAAGCTTCGGTTTTCGGCTGCCGTTTCCTTGCCAAGACCGAGAAGAAAAGAGAAACCAGTCCAAGATCCAATTTTATTTTGTTGAGAAGAAGCCACCAACAAGTGTAAGTAGCATTGTAAAAGGGGGTTGTTCGACTCCCCCTGTCTCAAAATTATTGTTCAGTTTGAGATTTCACTTTTAGTATAATTTGAACTACAAATGAAAACTCAAACTGGGCAATAATTATGGAACGGAAGGAATATTATTTTTGACAGACCGAGACGCACAAAAGGAGGCGGCGGCAGCCAAGTTTGGGCTGGTGTTCTTCACGGCGGACGCAATCTTCTCTCCCGGTTCCACCACTCTTTTGTTCCTTTATTTTATTGTTATTTTAGCATAATTTTTAGCAGCTAAATATTTTTAAGTTAGGATTTTGGTTGTACCCGCTGTACTATTTTGGTTTATTAAATTTATATGCTTTTGGCTTTTTTATTAATTAATATTTATTATTTTTGTTTTTCATTCATGTGAACACCTGATCAATATTTGCATGCATTATGGTGCTAGCTGAAATAGCGAGAGTGGAAGGTTAGTATTAGTTCGTATGAATAATAAACTTAGATAGTGAGCCAAGGCAGTTTGGAATACCGCCTTTGCGACTAGTGATTCTTATGGCCTTAAAGTGTTTTTATTAATCCCTATAGTCACGAGAGTAGTCACAGGGTTAATTTGAGTAAGAGATTTATAACACGAGAGTGTATAATTCTTAAATTGGTGAATTGTCGTGAGATTAATGAGTCTAAAATCACATATCTATAGACTGAATTAAACTGAGTAGTCGGTAGGTGAACCCTTTACCCTAGGTTTCCTCTTTCTATTTGTTTTAGTTTTAATTTATAATTTTAGGTTTAGTTTAGTTTGAAATTGATATTATAATTTGTCTAAATAATAATAAGAAATAGTTTTAACTGGTATTTGGTAACCTTCTCTGAGGGATCGACCCTATTTTCCGCTATACTAGTGTCAAGTAGGTAATTTTATACTTGATTAATGTGACGACGGCTTGTCAAATTTTGCGCCGTTGCCGGGGAAGGCAATAACCAATATCAAAACTAGATTATTTCTTTTATTAATATAGATTGTAGATATTGTCCTTTGTTTTATTAATTTATTTTAATTTTCTTTTCTTTCTTGTGTCAATATTTCTGTAGGATTTTGGATTTATCATTGAGAATTTTAACTATGGTTATGGAAATCCTCCATATTATGGTTATAATTCTGAATATGGAGAGTATCCTACATATCAAGAATATCTATACTCTTGGAGCCGTTCCTCCTATGATCCTTTATATGGTTGTGGTTATCAGGAATGTTCATCTGATATGGAATACAATTGTCTCGTTTGGAGAGAATAGAAAAATTGCTGATTGACAACAATAAGAATAATGGTTCACCTTTCTATCAAGATGATTGTTACCACTTAAATGCATCAGTGTATTAACCACCACCTCCTCAACCCACTATTAGAGAGTTAGTAGCTCGTCAACCTACTATAAGAGAGTTAGCAGCCTTACAGCCATCACCTTATCAACCCTTTTTGAGACAGTTAGGATCTTCGTATCAGCAGCCACCTGCTC